TTAATGATAAAAAGTCATTTTTCTCATTTGACGTAGTGATCGATTTTTTTAAAAATTTTTTCAAAAAAATACTTTTTTAACGAAACTTTTAAGCCAAGCCCGATAATGGGGAAACAATTTTTACAATATTTTCGGAATTTTTTAAAATTTTTTAAATTTTGAATTTTTTAACAATTTTTGAATTTTGAATTTTTTAAAAATATTTTTGGTTTTTTTTTATACTACGTACTTTTATGTATTTTGATGCGCTGATTACGAAAATCATAGTGACAATACCCAAAACTTTGATTTTTATGGTGAAAACCATCAGAGAAAATTATAAGGTATTAAAATAAACTGCAGCTCTTATTATTTTAATGCCTTCTAATTTTCTGTGATAAAAAAGTCCCAAAATTTATGGTTTTTTTTTCGTTTATTGGGTAAAATATGCAAAATTAAAAAAAATGCATAAGATAGAAAAAATGCATTTTAATGAGATCTATAACTTTTGTTTGAAAGTTTTTTTTAATTTTGCATATTTTACCCAATAAACGAAAAAAAACCATTAATTTTGGACTTTTTTATGGTTTTCAACATAAAAATAAAATTTTTGGGTATTGTCACTATGATTTTCGTAATCAGCGCATCAAAGTACATAAAAGTACGTAGTATAAAAAAACCAAAAATATTTTTCAAAAATTCAAAAATTTTTGAAAAATTCCGAAAATATTGTAAAAATTGTTTCCCCAAAATCGTAGCTAGGCTTAACAGTTTCGTAAAAAAAAGTAGTTTTTTTGAAAAAATTTTGAAAAAAATCGATCAGTACGTCAAATGAGAAAAATGACTTTTTATCATTAAAACTCAAAAATTTGATAGTAATATCGTTTTAAAAAAAAAATTGATTTTTTTTTGAAATGTACGTTTAAAAACACACATTTTGAGAAAAAGACTTTTAAAATTGATGCATTTTTAAGGAAGTTATGAGCATTCAAAAATTAAAAGTCATGAAAATTTTCCAATTTTCAAAATTCCATAACTCGAAAACGGCTTGCTAAAAAAATTTGAAAAAATTCATGGAAGCTAGTCTCAGTTAGTACTAAAAGAAAAAAAAATCGGAGATGCAATTGCAGATGGACTTACACTTTGGCGTGGAATACATCATAGACAACAAATTTTTTTCATCTAATACTTATTTTCATAAACTTATTTTGACTACAGTAGAAGTAAAAAAATGATTTGAAATTATAATTACTTTTTGAAAATTTTAGATGATCCGTTTGAGAAATTCTATAAACGTCGGTGAACTTCACAACGCTTATATGATCAACGATGGAGAAGAAAAAATATTTTTCTATGCAAATTATTATTTTTAATAATAATTTAATAATAATAAAAATAAGTTTTTGAAAAAAAAATTTGTAAAGAAAAAATAAGTTATTATTTTTTAAATGGAAAATATTTTTTTTTCAATCGTTGATCATAAACGTTGTGTACTTCACCGTCATAATTTTGACCCTTATTTCTTTGCATTAAATTTACGAAAATATAAACAAATTTTAAAGCGAAATAAAAGTAAAATATATTATATTATATATATTTGAGTTGTCGTGTGGACTACTCCGCAATATATACAATATATGTGACAATATAAGAAAACTTTGAAGGAAAATAGAAATTTTGTTAATACTTGTAATTATTGAAAGATATATACTATTCTTCAATGAAAGTATATATTTATAGATGTCATGATGATTCTCCATTGTATAATTTATAAATTATAATATAAACACTGCCGGCGTTGAATAATATTTAATGTCGTTATCGAGTGCGTCCTCATTTTCCACTTAAGCGAAACGACTTTATTATTATGAATTATTATTTCTTTCTTCTCAAGGAGAAAGAGAGGGAATTGAAAACGGTAATTATTGCCCTAAATAACAAGAAACTATGTAGTCGAAAATAAACTTTTTATTTGTTTGTTTACAAAATATTAAATATTCAAATTATTTTAATTTTTATCACTAAGAAAATGATATGTCGTTTAATTCAAAAATACATTTTTGTTGATAAAATAGATTTTATTTAAATATAAATTTCAGTTTGATTCAAAGTTAATATATTCTTGATAAGTTAAATATATTAAGTTTAAATAAAAAATAATTTATCTAGTACATTATTTTATTTGCATTATATTGTGCACTTTGAATAAAAATACCGTAAACTTAATACATACAGAATAAATTTTAACTTAAAATAATCTCCAAATGATATACGAAAAATAATTTTTTAGGTTAAGAATCATGTCAAAATTTTATTGTGCAAATAACTATATAATAATCATTGGAATATACGAATTGTGACACTTTGCAGGGAATGGTAGCTTTTTTTCAATACAAAGTGGGCAACTAGAATAGAGAAAAGCAGGGTGGAGCAGGTGTCAAAAATATAAAGATATGGCATATTTCGGACGTTCAAACATATATTATAATTTTTATCAATTACAGCGAATGCGCCAATTACGGCGCGTTCATAAAAAATAACTATTAGTGCGATTCCAAGTGAGATTTTGACTTTTTCGGAGTAGGTTAACCGATTGCAATGAAACTTTGGAATTTTGTTATATATAGTAAGACTAATCTTTAACGTAAATTTCAGCCTAAAATATTTGTTAGTTTACGAGATTTGCAATAATAGCAAAAAATTTAAAACTGCTATATCTTCCGTTCTAATAAACGGATTGAGGTCTACTTTTTTTTAAAATGTCAAGGAAAATGAGAGGAATAAATCTCTTTCAGAACATTTTTTTATAATTTTACAACTAAAAAAATTATTAAATAATAATTGAATAACTTTCGCGCGACTAACTAAAATTCAATCACTTAAACGCTAAAATGATCTTACCTGTGTTTTCTTTAATGTTCCAAAGGATTTTTATTGTAAATGTAAGTTTAACTTAAGAAATTTTATTAATTTATTAGTATAAACAATTGAGATTTCTGCTAGTTGACGTGCAGACGACATTGCGCACGCAGCATTCTCACATAGCCAACTGACGTGATTCGTGGACTAAATTGGCTATGTGAGAATGCTGCGTGCGCAATGTCGTCTGCACGTCAACTAGCAGAAATCTCAATTGTTTATACTAATAAATTAATAAAATTTCTTAAGTTAAACTTACATTTACAATAAAAATCCTTTGGAACATTAAAGAAAACACAGGTAAGATCATTTTAGCGTTTAAGTGATTGAATTTTAGTTAGTCGCGCGAAAGTTATTCAATTATTATTTAATAATTTTTTTAGTTGTAAAATTATAAAAAAATGTTCTGAAAGAGATTTATTCCTCTCATTTTCCTTGACATTTTAAAAAAAAGTAGACCTCAATCCGTTTATTAGAACGGAAGATATAGCAGTTTTAAATTTTTTGCTATTATTGCAAATCTCGTAAACTAACAAATATTTTAGGCTGAAATTTGCGTTAAAGATTAGTCTTACTATATATAACAAAATTCCAAAGTTTCATTGCAATCGGTTAACCTACTCCGAAAAAGTCAAAATCTCACTTGGAATCGCACATTATTATCATTATATTTTATATAATTGTTGCAAAATGATTTAAAAAATCTTATTTTTATCTTTTTTTGATACAATTACTAATAAAGTTGCCTTGTAAACAATTATTAATTTAATTATTTGAGATAAAATTTTTTTGAATTGACTTTCTACAATAGAAATGTGGAATTTTCTATTTCAAAAGTGTTTTGACTCGAATCGCGCCGTAATTACTGCATTTAGGGTCAGTTGGGGTAAATGGGGACAAGAGGTTTTGGAGCTTAATTGACAGTTTTAAAATTAAGTTCAACGTCAATATTTTAACCTCAGATCATCTGCAAGAGGTTTTGAGTATTGCCAAGCTTTTATCTTGACAATTGGCAGCAAGATAAAAAAAGTTATCGCTCAATGTATAAAAACTTGAAAATCAAAGTCAAACTGTTTCAGTATTTTCTCGAGCATTTGAAAGAAAACAGACTTAAAAATCATACCAAATTTTTTTCTTATTCGTTATGACTCTCATAACAGAAATTCACTTGAATTTTTGATTTTTATCAATTTGGTTAATAATGACAAGCTGTTCCCATTTACCCTGAGTTTTCGAATTTTTGGGGTAAATGGGGACAGCTTGTCATTATTAGCCAAATTGACAAAAATCAAAAATTCAAGTGAATTTATGTTATGGAAGTCATAAGGAATAAGAAAAAAATTTGGTATGATTTTTAAGTCTGTTTTTTTTAAATGCGAGACAAACACACTAAAAAAGAAATCTTGATTTCAGCCTATTTTTGAGGCTGAATTTAAGGTGTAAACGGAGTTAGACCAATTAAAAAAGGACAGACTTATGCAAAATATATGGGCTTAATTTAAGGTGTAAACGGTTTAAGACTTTGTTTTTACTGCGAAATACTGAAATAAAAAAAAAAATTCAAATTCGTTCAACTATTATTATATCTACTACAAATTTTTTTCAAGTTTTTTCATCCCGTAATACAGTAATATACTTAAGGAAACTTTTTTCTTAAAACTTTCTTAGAAACTATGCTGTCCCTATTTACTCCAAATTTTATGAAATTTTCTAAATTTTGGGGTAAATGGGGACAATATTACCTTTTAAAGGAAGAAACTTACGTAATTTGTGAAAAATAGCGATTTTGTCCCCATTTACCCCAACTGACCCTACCCTATATTAAAATATGTTATATAAGATCCTGATAAATTGTCCTGATGTATTTGTGTGTGTGTGTGTGGATCTTGAATGTCAAGGTGATATCAAGCGAGAATATTCTTGTGACATTCAGGCGATATCATAATGTCCGCTTCATAGGGACATTCCACGGTGATAAACTGGCTACGTGGTTTATGGACGGCCCCTTAGTCATTTTTATTTAATCAAGGACACTATTGTTATAGTAATATATTTATTTACGTTGTAAAAATGTTTTTAACATTCTACTTTCTGTGTTACAGGTGACAACACCAAAGAATCAAAATAGTATGCCAAAACAAAAATGGATATTAATAAGCGCCGCCTGTATATTTTTCATTATCACACATTCGTGGACGGTCCTCGGTAAGTTTGATTTAATAATAAATATTTTCTATATTTTCAAAAGACAGTAATTTTTTTTTATCTATATAATTTTAAATCTTAACTCAAATGGAGAATAACACAGAAAGTGAGTCAATGTCCAATTATTTTGGTTATACCAATCAATTGCCTATGATTTTGCTTAGAAATATTTCTTTCATTTATCTTAAACATTTACTAATTACTGTATATATATATATATATTTTATTTCAACTTCTCACAGCAATTTTCTTCAGTGTTTCATATACCTTGAGTTTGTCTTAAATATCCCGAGTCGAAATTTTTCCCTCTTTTCACCCTCGATTTTCTCAGCCTCTTTTCAGCCTGAAATCATGCGCTTATTTCCAAATCTGCATGTTTAGAGGTTGAAAAGAGGTCTTGGAATTTTTTCTTAATTTGAATTTTTCGAAGTATTATTCCTCCTAAAAGTTTTATAGTATTACGACAAAAACCAATAAATATATCTTCACTGCCGTGTTATGGAAAAACACAGTAACTGCAGGAAAATCGAAAAATGAGTTTTTTATATCGTTGTAATCGTTGAAAAAAGCTGCATCTGTTAATGCAAAGCATCTTTAAAAATTATTAACGTAATTAATAATTTTAATAATAATAAATTAAGAATTTTATAAATTTTGTACAATTTGCAATATATAGTTTGTAATATATAATATAATACATTATAATTAATATGTAGTTATTTTTTATTTTATTCAGAATAATGATAATAATAATTATTATTTTTTTATTGATAAATAATATCAGACTTTATTGAAATACAAAACTTTTAAGAAAAATATGACTCATGAAAAATAAATTTCTTTCTAAAATTTATTAATATAACTATAAAATTGCAGTATGAGTATTTAATAAAGCATTTCTTAATCTGTAAAATAAAAATTATAATAATTATGACAAAGAGATGCATTAAAGTCTTTTTGTTTGTTTAATAAATGCATATATAATTCTGGTAGGGTCAACCGGGGTAAATCCGAACGCTTCTAGTAAGTTTCAACAATAACATAAGTTTTTTCTTTAAAAAAAAAATACTTCCGGTATTCTGGTGCATGAAGTTGTTACTTTACTTCCATAGAACAATTTTATGGGGTAGCAAAAATTTTTGATAAATTACAATCGCAGGAAACTTAGCGTTCGTATTTACCTCGATACTTTGCAACTTTCCTAAAATACCAGGGTAAATACGAACGCCACTGTATTTCAGAAAAATCGTAGGGAAAATAAATTTAAAGTATTGCAATCAAACATCAAACAGGTTAAAAATTAAAATGCATTACACAATTAAAACCTTCAATAACTTTATCAAATCATAACGGATTTTTGCAAAACTTGGTACAGAAAGTATTTTGGAGTGATTGAATGTAAATACAAAAATAAAAGTCAAATTTTTTAAATTCAAAATGGCGGACTTTCCTAAAACTTATTTTTAAAAATGATCAAATTTGCTAACTCCAAATTCGTAATCAGCGACCCTGAAACCCCCCGAGTAACAATTTTCGAGCGAATCCAATGAATTATTTAATTCTCGTCCGACATTTTGAATTTTGAAAAACTGACTTCAAATTGGTAATTAGCGACCCCAAAAACCGTAGAATACCAAATTTTATTAAGATCCTGAAAAACTTTTTTCAACAAACCATTTGGCAAAAAAATTGAAACACTCCTTCGAGAGAACAGAGATTAAGTTTCTGCTTATTAATTACTAACGAGGATACGTATAGAAAGAAAAACTTTTTTCTATGTACTTTTATAATGTTAAAATAATAGTGTAATGAAATAAAAACAATTTTGTGTGGCTCTGATGTAAAAAAAAATTATTGAAAATACCGTTCGGATTTACCCCGGTTTTCCAATTTTCCTGGGTAAATACGAACGGTCTGATATTATTAATAAAATTTTACAGAAGGCAAAAATGAAAAATAGTTTCTGTTCTAGTATTCATGACAAACAATTATAAATAATAAAATGAATTTTTAGCTTCTTTTTCTTCAAATACGAGACAAAATACTGAAAGAGTGTCATCTTTGATTTTCAATCTTTTTTGCAATACTCGTTATCTTTGTTTATGCTGTTGCTAATTAACAAACGAAAAATGGGATAATACTTAGAATCTCTTGAAGAGGATCTGAGGTAAAAATTCTCATATCGAACTTATTTTTAAAATTTTTAATTAAGCTGAAATAATTAGCGTTCGGATTTACCCCCCGTTCGGATTTACCCCGGCTGACCCTATTCAATAAAATATTTCGCTGCCTCAATCAAATGGTTTGGTTGCACAAACATAAACCAAATTTTGTTTATCCCAACCAAATGTTTTGTCATGAGCAAACAAATTTGCAATGTAATATTTATAAAAATTTTAAAATTTTTATAATAAATATATTTATGTCAGCAATAATTATCCTTAAATTTATTTTAGAATACCTAATTCAAATTTCTTATAATTTATGACTAATAAAGTATAATTAGAATAAATTTAACCATATAATATATTTCTGAAAAATATAATTACAACTATTACACCTTATTAAATAATAAAATTAGTGATTTAATGCATTTTTTAAAACTGTTAAAAAAGATTAAAATTCTTATGTTTCCTTGCAGTTACTAGGTTGTCCCGTGGGACGACCCTCGAATTCGCTTGATAGTAACTACAATTTTATTAATTTATTAATTGTTTAAACAAATATAACATATATTTATTTTCACATCAATAGAAAGATTATCTTTATCCGAATCAAAAGTGACAAGTTGTTTTTTAAAATTTCAATTAGGCTTTGCGAAAAGAGACAATAAAGATTCAAACAGTTTTTCGCGTTTTTCTCGAGTTCTTTCAAATTGCAGTTACTGTGTTCTGTCATAACACGGCAGTTCAATAGGGTCAATAAATAATGTTCATAAGAAAAAAAATCCAATTTTTACATTTTTTTAATTTTATTTTTTCGTTTTTTTTTGTTTTTTTTTTTAATCTCTTTTACGCCTCTCTAGTCATCTTTAAACCCTCCTTTCAGCCTCCAATATAGGATATATTTTCACTTTTGCAAATTCGAGGTCGAAAAGAGGTTGGAGAGAATAAAAGGAGGATAAAAGGAGGTTTTTAGAAAACTTATAGAGAGTCTAAATTTCGACTCGGGATCTTTTATTGGTTTTATGAATATGGAGCATTTTTTCTTCAAATGACCCGGTAAAAAATTAAAAGTTATTTGATTGGCATAAAATTTTGGTAAAATTTTTGTATTATATGTGCACAAAATTTTTGTAACTTATTATAGTGATCATTGTCCGTATTATAGATCTTCAGTTAGTAGTACATAAATATTTAAGCAATTTGAAACAATTTTTTTTTTTCATTTAATTTTGATTTTTGCTTATTTTTTAAATAACAAAAATAAATAACATTTTTTTTTTTCGATAATTGAAAATTAGGAAAGCCTACATTATCAAAAAGAGAAGCAGAAATCGAGTCCACAAATTGGACAAGTGTAGCTGAAGAATGGCTGAAAAAGAAACAAGATACTCAAAGGCATAGTGTGACAATACTTCCATTTAGTCAAAAATTCCATCAACTTTCAGCAACAACTGAATCAGTTGTTATTCATGGAATGAGTAAAGAACAGTACTCAAGGGTAATAAAAATATTTATATCATAATGAAAAAAAAAAACAAAATTCTTTTTAGAAATTAATTTAAATTTTGAAAAATATTTAAATATATATATACATATATTAAATAAATATATATTTGAAAAATATGAATAAAATATTTTAAAAAATAATGATTCTGAAAAATATTCTGAGAAAGTAAATTATTATGTAAAAGTCTAACCATGATGTAAAAGTAACATTTCGCACTTAATGCTTAACTGCCGTCAGGAAATTCGAATCATTTTGTTCTTTTTCTGCAAAGTGTTTTAAAGCTTATAGTGGCCTTGAAGTACTTCTGTTTTACTATCTTTCTTTTTCTTGACAATTCAATAGTTTACTTTCACTTTCCGTACCAAAATCCTTTCACTGAAGTCGCATCGTCAGATAGATATAATACATAATTCCGTGTTTTAAACATTTTTTTTTTTAAATTTATATACTGCAATTCTATAAAGTGCAATGTGCAGTAAAGGTGTATTTATAGCGATCAACCAGTAAAACTTAGTACTAAATTAAAAAAAAAATACTTGAATACTAAAAATACTGAAAGTATAATTAAACTGAAAAAAAATTATTTGATTCAAATAAAATCGGTTTAAAAATTTTTATAGTGTGAATATTTTTAAATTACAAAAACCACTTACTTATTTCACAATTATACAAAATATCAATTTTGTCTTTTTTATAAATAAATTAATTAATTAACAAAAAAAAATTTTCATTAATGATAATATATTAATCATGAAAAAAAAATTATAAAAATGATCTTTTAGTTCTTTATTAACAATTTTATTTAATATTTCATTTTTTATTAGTAATATTCAAATTAATATTTATTATTAATAATATTATTTTTCTGAATCAAATTAATTTTTTTCAAGTATATCAAAATAATGAAAAAATTGTCAAAAAAAGAGTTCTTTAAAAAAAAAAATAATAATATCTAAACTTTAGTTTCTTTAGGAATAAAATATTTGTAGTTAAAAAAAGCATTTTTTAAAATAATTTTTCCTTATATTTTAAAAAATTTACTTTAATACAAATATATTCAATTTCTCCTGTTTATTCCAATAAACATTAAAATAGATACCTCAAAAACAATTTTTACTCACATATATATATTGCGCGTATAATTCATAGTTTGTATGCATCCTGTGTTATGCGCATTAAAAAAAAAAAAAATTTCCTTGATAAAAACGGTTGATAACAAAATTTTACTTTGTTGTTGAAAAACAAGTTTTTATTCGCATTGTTTATAAATTTTAACATAATTATAATTGGGCTAGTCAACTGACTTTCGTCTAATAGTGGTTGCGACCAAATTTTTAAAAAAATCTAGTTTTAATATATGTGAAATTCGATGATTCCCAGAGTTCATTAACCATAATATTATGGTAAAAATTTTATTCCCTTTAAAAATATTAAATATCAAAAGTAGGAGGTTCACAATGTGATTTTGTAACCTTAAATTTTTCAATTTTTTTAAAAACGCTATTATTAAAAAACTATTAAAAATTAGATGTTGGAACTCACCAAAAACATAAATCACTTTATTCTGCACAGAGGAACGAAAGAATTATTGCAAAAATTTATTATTTTTGGATGATATACGATTTTTAAAAAAATTTTATTTAAATATTCTCAAGATTTTTAATTACTTATAACATTTTTGTCGGTGCTCCGAAAAAATTGAGGTTTTGCACAAAGATTTTTTATAATATTCTTTACCTTCTATTAAAATCTTACGAAGGTGTTTTGCTTCGTTTTGGAGATATTAATTTTCAAAATTTTTTATTTAAAAAGGTTAATTAAAAGACTTGAACTTAACTAACCAAATTCAAACTGCTCCAGTTTTTATAAAAATATATTAAAATGTAGCGATTTGAAATTGGTCAGTTAACTTCAAGTCTTTTAATTAACCTTTTTAAATAAAAAATTTTAAAAATTAATATCTCCAAAACGAAGCAAAACACCTTCGTAAGATTTTAATAGAAGGTAAAGAATATTATAAAAAATCTTTGTGCAAAACCTCAATTTTTTCGGAGCACCGACAAAAAAGTTATAAGTAATTAAAAATCCTGAGAATATTTAAATAAAATTTTTTTTAAAATCGTATATCATCCAAAAATAATAAATTTTTGCAATAATTCTTTCGTTCCTCTGTGCAGAATAAAGTGATTTATGTTTTTGGTGAGTTCCAATATCTAATTTTTAATAGTTTATTAATAATAGCGTTTTTAAAAAAATTGAAAAATTAAAGGTTACAAAATCACATTGTGAACCTCCTACTTTTGATATTTAATATTTTTAAAGAGAATAAAATTTTTACCATAATGTTATGGTTAATGAATTCAGGGAATCATCGAGTTTCACATATATTAAAACTAGATTTTTTTTAAATTTGGTCACTATTAGACGAAAGTCAGTGAACTGACCCAATTATATAAAATTTATTAATAATGCAATATTAAACCTAGATATATATTTATAATTTTTGCAGGTAAATTATTCACGAATGTTATGGAATATGGAGAGTACTCAACAAGGAGGACATCTTTCCTTGTTTGTTGATAAAGCAGTGAAACTTTTAGATTTGAGGCAAGTTATGATTGAAGTTGAAACCTCCGTCATGTCTAAAGTGTCTTGTTCTGCATGTAAAGTTGGCGCTGGTCTTTTACAACATTATATCAAATCAGGAAAAAGTGACAATGAAATATTGCAAAATATTTATCAATTTTGCACCTATTTCAAAATTCAAAAACCCCGAGTTTGCTCTGGAGTTACTGATCTTTTTGGGGTGAGATCAATATTATTGTTTATTATTATTTTATTTTTTTTTTTTTTACGAAACAAGTTTAGGAGAGGAAAAAATGTCTTTACTAGTATAATAATAATGCCTTTATTATTATTATCATTTTATTTATATTATTATTTAAAATTGGGATAAATATATTTTTGTACGTTCTTTACAGAAAAAAAATGGTATACGTACGTATTTTCGAGTTATGAATTTTTAAAAATATGTTAAAGAAAAAAATTTTTTTTTTGAATTTTTATATATAAAATAACAATTTTTTAAAAACAAATTATATTTTTTTAAACTTTGAATCTAATGCTTGTTCTATTTTTTAATTTTTACATACCTAAAAGTACTAAGAAAATTTTACAACAATTTTTAGAGTGGGCTTAATGATCCTTTTTGTTTAAATAATTTGTTTACATTTTTTTAATTTTTTTTTTTTTTTATTTTTCAAAATAAAAGGTTTTTAGCTGCTCGGATCCTTCGCTTTATTCATAGAAAAGCAAACTAATATGATGTGTAAAAATAAAAAACAATCGGGTTCAATGTTAAACAAAAAATTAATTTGTTTATAAAAATTGCACGAAAGGGTATTTTTCATATAAAAATTGAAAAATTTTTTTCTCTTCATTAGGTTTCGAAAGTCAAAGAAAAACTGGAACTTTTTTTCTCATGGCAAAAATTACTAAATTCAATTCACTTTTAAAAAACCTCGAAAACCCCAGATTTTAAAAAATTCATAATTCGAATATATTTGGTCATTTATTAATTAATAAAAAAATACGTAGAATAACATTTTTTTCTGTAAATAAAGAGAAAAAAAAATTTATCCAAATTTAAAATGTCATAGGTAAAATTTCACGTGAAATCGTCCATATATGATTAATCATGGAAATGGCAAAAAATTTTCTAAATTGAAAAAATAAATTTAATTTGAAAAAAACTTCAGTTTAAAGAAATAAAAATTTCTCCAAGTTGTAAAAAGCAAATTAAATTTACGCTAAATTTTGCGTACAATGTATGTGAAACTTCACACTTTTCACTTATTTTGACTAAAATTATTTTATACTTACAAGGCGTTCCAAGTGAAAGGTAAATACGACGTCTGCGATTTTTTTTAATAATCAATAAAATTGTACTAGTTGGTACACAAATTGATGTGTACTAAAAGAAAATTTAAAAATTGTTAATAATTTCAATTTTATTAACAATTGAAAATTTATCATACCTTTCTTTTCAAGTTCAAAAATCTGCTAAAATATTGGTTTAAAAAAAAAAAAATCTTTCTCTATCAAAATTGTTGAAAATCGATTAAAGAAAATATTTTTTAATTATAAAATTTTTTTTAAATTAATCTATATATGTTTAATAAACAATTTTTGTTCATTGTTATTTATCATAAAGAAGATAACTGGTTTTCTTCTTTTAAAAAAGAAATAATATTTAAAGTCGTCTTTAAAACACATATACAAATTATAAAAGACATGTTATTTTTCTGTATCCATCAATAAAATGTTTAATTATTTTAAAACATTACTACTTCTGAGCGTGACGCATGGAGCAAAACGTTACAAAACAATTAAATATTTATTAATTGATATATAAAGAAAAATAATATGACTTTTATATTTCGCAGGTATTTTAAAGCCAATTTGAATATTATTTTTTTTTTTTTTAAGATAAAGTGTGATTTCCTTCATGATAAATATGTAACAATAAACAAAAATTTTTTATTAAACAAATAGATTAATTTTTCTTAATTTTATATTAAACACATTTTTTTAATAAAATTTAATCGATTTCCAACAATTTTTGTAGAGGGAGATTTTTTTTCTTAAAACGAATATTTTAGCAGATTTTTTAATTTGAAAACAAGCAAAAAAAATTTTCAATTGTTAATAACATAAAAATTATTAATAATTTTAAAAAGTCCTTTTTAACAGGGCAATGTTAAAAAAAATAATTATTTAACAAAAGATTGAAACTCAACATAATTTTTTTTCGAAAAATGAATAACTAAATCTTCTAAAATTATTTGAAATTAATGTTTAATAAATTTTTGTTTTCGTTATAAACCATTTTTCACAATTAACAAAAAATTTCTATTTAACCAAATTCTCATTTAACAAAACATTTATTAACGATAAATTTAATTAAATTAATTTTTATTTAATAGAATTGTCATTTAACAGAAATTCTATTTAGCAGAATTTTTAAATGAAAGAATTCCTATTTCACCGAAAGTTTATTTGACCGAACTTTTATCTGTCCGAATTCGCATTTGATAGAACTATTAAATCGTCAAACTTCCATTGGATAGAATTTTTACATATCCGATTAAACACCGGTCAAAAATATTTTAGCTCGAGTTTTAAAATCCACCAATTAAAAATTATTATCAAAAAAAAAAAATTGTGATTGGTTGAATTATGTCAAATGTGAATTCAAAAAATGGAAATTTTGATAAAAGAACAATTCTGATAAATTAACATTATTTTATATGAAAATTTTGCTAGATATAAATTCTGTTGAATGGAAATTGTATCTATTATTCGATGTATCAGAAAATCTGCTATGCAAAAGTTCAGTTAAATAAAAAATTAAATCAGAATTTAGATAAATAGAAATTATTTTATATGAAAATTTGACTCATTATAAAATCTACTTTATAAAATTCTGCTAAATAAAAATTCGATAAATCATGCGTTTCAATAGTAGAATTTTACTAATTTTGTAAGTATTAAAAAAAATCGCAGACGTCGATCTTGCTTTTCATTTGGAACGCCCCTTATTTAAATTTAGAGAAAATATTATTTAGAAACTGAATTAAACTATTGCATAAAATTTTAACACACAGTTGACCCATAATCTATATTCAATGGTTGCCATTTCCACATAGGTAAATCTGGTTTAAAGTTTAAAAAGTAATTAACATAATATATCGATCATTTTAAATAGTGACTGGTCGGTATTCGGACAGAAAGTCTAAACCAAAATGTCCAAGACAAAAAATCCAAAGTAAATAAAATCTAAAAAAGAAAGAAAAAAAAAAAGAAAAATAGTTACACTTATGACCCAATAAAAATTCTTTAAAATGCCTATTATGTTAAATGAAAATCCGAACAAATAAAAATTCTGTAAAGTGAATTTTCGGTTATTTAAAAATTCTCTAATATAGAAAATCGGTTTGATAATGAAAATTCTGCAAAATACTAATTCGAACAAATGAAAATTCAGCTCAAAAATAATTATGACAAATGAAATTCCATCAAATGAAAATTCTTACTAATGATTTTTAGAAAATATTCATGAGTCCCTCATTTATTATGAACTTTTGTACTTTAGACATTTTTTGTTGAATATTTTGGATTGGACTTTTTGTCCTGGTAAATATACGTGAATATAATATTAAAAGTATTTAAACATTTTATTGCAGGGTGAAGTGATATATGTTTTGAAGCAAATTGATTTAGGTCCAGCTCAAATTTGTAGTTTTGTTATTGGAGATGCATGTGAGGATACATATAATCCACAACATGATTGGGAAGTTGCTTTTCCACCAGTGAAAAAACCACCAATTCAACCACCTATTCCACCTAAGGAAGGCGCTCCAATGTTTAAAGTTCTTCACATCTCTGACACTCATTATGATCCTTACTATATGGAAGGCTCAAATGCTGAATGCAATGAACCTCTTTGTTGTCGTTATACTAATGGACGTCCACTTACACCTTCTGCCGCTGCTGGAAGATGGGGTGATTACAGAAAATGTGACACTCCCAAAAGAACTGTGGATCATATGTTGAATCACATTGCCCAAACACATAAAGTAAGTCGAAACTGTTTTTCTTTTTTTCCAAATTCAAATTATTAAAACTTTAAAATGTCAGATGCTAAAAAATTACCTCCATGAAATTGGCGTCGAAAATTACACAGGCCTGCATGGTTTTTTTATTTTTGATATTGAAGTCGTTCCCTATGTAATTTTGTGCGCTGAACACGATCCCGTGTCCCAAAATGGCCCAGCACGTCAGAATTTTGAGAAAAGTGGGGGTAAAGAGCACAAAAACCGTGTTTTTGGGTGTTTTCAAGAATTTTTTTCTCCTTAACCTGACGTTCTAGAAACTTCTACTAGGTCTTAAATTAAAGCTTAAAGTGTGCACTTTGAGACCTATATGCGCAAGTAAAAAAAAACTTAAGGGATTTTGAGAAAAGTGGGGGTAAAGAGCCTAAACAACGTGTTTTTGAGTGTTTTCGAGAATTTTTTCTCTCCTTAACCTGACGTGCTAGAAACTTCTACTAGGTCTTAAATTAAAGCTATAACGAAATTATTTAATTAATTAATGTTATTAATTAATAACCCCTCTTAATTGTTACAAAAGAAAACCCAACGTGATTATTGTTAGACGCCAGCCAATTTTTAGATGGAATTGGCAAACCAGAGAAAACACCAAAATAACCCCAAAACTCAAATCAGTCAAATTGAAATCTCAGAGGAGATTCTGTTGAAAACGAAAGTCGCAAAAAGGGACACGACCCTTGAGACACGACACAACCAAAATTGGACTTACCCACGACGATCAAATATCAGCACCAGCTTCCTCTCGGCAGGTCCTCGTGTCGATGAAACTCGCCGGTGTCGAGAAAAAGGGGCTGATAAATAAAACACTACTTTTCTATTCTTTATTTATTAGTGAGTCGAGCTCGATCTCGACTCTCTCTCTACACACTACAATTTTCCTCTGAAAACACACAATATAACACTCAAAAACTCTAACGTGGACACACTACAGTACCCCTGTACTCGCTATCTCGCGTCCATTGACAAAATCTATTGAATCTGCTCTCTCGATCCCTTCGTCTACGTCTCGTTCCATGAGTGGCCGCCGCGATGGCGCCACCTCCTGGACTCCTGCTTTGTCTCTGCTTGTCCATCAAACCCCATTACGCGCGAAACTCATCCCCAGTCAAATTCACCTTGTGATGAATTTACTTCGTCACAAACACCCCTCCCCTAGGCCGTTACTACTCCCAGCAGTAACGCCTATCCACAACACCAAAACCCAAATCGAAAATTAATCGTCCCTTGTCGACAATCTGGAGGACTACATTTTGTCCATGGTCCTTCGCCTCTCTTCAATCAACTGTCGTTGATCTCGTTCCCTTTGTCTCATATTATCCTTGTCGAAATTCCTCCTCGAATCTAAAATTATATTACCATTAGTAAAAATTAATGAGGTCGTGGGGGAAGATATCGTTTAAGGTCTGAGACATGGATTTTAGGGATACGACGACTCTCGTTATCACTTAAGACAAAAACTGTAGGTGATAATTTCTCCACGATCTCGAAAGGGCCCTCATATTTCGGTGCGAGTTTCGTCGCGAAATTCCGTGTACCACTCGACAATTTGTGTGATTTACGAAGTACTAAGTCACCCACATTAAACAACCCCTCTCGTCGATTACGGTTATAGTACTCGGTCTGTCGATCACGTTCTTTGTCGATAAATTTCGCTACCAAGTCTCGCAACGCATCCAACCTCTTTACCCTGTCTACCCAATCTTCTGGCGCAATTCTCTTAACCTGATCTCGTGGTTCTACCTCCCGTCGCAAACTTTTAACCGGTCGAGGATGTCTTCCGTAATTCAAAAATGCGGCAGACGTTTTAGTCGCCACCTGTGTCGCAGTGTTCATAGCATGGCGAAACTCGTGAACATGAAGATCCCAGTCGCGATGATCATTCCCTATGAAAGTCGCAATCATGGTCTTCAATGTCCGGTTACTCCTCTCCACAGGATTAGCTTGCGGGTGGTAGGGTGGTGTGGTGATGTGTTTGACACCATATTCCTGAAGCGTTTCCTTGAGGAACTTGTTGTCGAACTCCTTCCCATTGTCTGTTAATAAAAAGTCAGGAGTTTCCCAGCGGAAGAGGACCAATTCTTCAAATGCTTTGGCCACCGACTTTCCATCAGCTGATCGCAACGGTTTCACCTCAACCCACCTCGAGAAAAGATCTTGGAACACGACAAGATATTTACACCTACTCTTGCTTGGTGGAAACTCCATCGTGTCCGCTGCCACTACAGCCCAAGGTCGCTCAACTATCCTCTGTCCCATTAGTCCTGCCGGTCCTGCTTGTGATGCTTTGTGGAGCTGGCACTGGGGACATCGAGTGACATACTGGTGGACATCATTCCAGATTCCTTGCCAGTAATATTCTCTCGCTACTCGATTGTACGTTTTCTCCACCCCCAGATGACCTGCCGACGCCAATCCATGGCCGTCGTGGAGAACTCTCTCTCTGTACTCCTCAGGTACCACCAGTTTCCAACCATCCTCGTCGCCAACAATCGGAAGGAGTAACGGGTCACTCCTATGTCGATAAAGATGATCGTTCTCAATTTTCCATCCAGGAAAACGCTCCGGGAATTGTCGAACCAAATCTCGTCGCTTAAGGTACCATTGATCCATAATGGTATCAAAGGCATCGATCATCTCTTCGTCATCCTCACTCATCCTGGACAATGCATCCGGGACTTGGTTCAATGCACCTCTCCTGTGAATGATTTCAAAATCCCACACCTGCATTTCCAGGGCCCATCTCGCTAGTCGACCACTCGGGTCCTTTAAGTTTCTGAGCCACTTTAGGGCACTGTGATCTGTGATCACCTTAAACTTGTATCCCTCGATATACGGTCGCAACTTCTTAATCGCCCACAACAACGCTAAACACTCCTTCTCCGTGACGCTATAATTCCGTTCTGCCCCTGTCAGAACACGGCTGATATACATCACCGGATGTTCACCGTCGTCAAACTCCTGAGTCAACACAGCTCCAATAGCAAAATTACTCGCATCGCATTGGATGGTGAATGTCTTACTAAAGTCAGGACGGGCCAACACTGGCGCTGTCGTAAGTTTGTCCTTCAACTTGTCGAAAGCCTCTTGTTGCTCCTCGCCCCATTCCCAGTCTCGACTCTTCTTGAGCAATTTAAGAAGAGGTATCTTGATTTCGCTATCGTTTTGGATAAATCTCGAATACCACCCCACCATGCCCAAAAATCTCCGGAGTTGTTTGACGTTCTTTGGCGCTGGATAGTTTCTCACCGGCTCGGTTTTTTCGGGGTCTGGTCGCAATCCTTCATTGTCGAGAAGATACCCCAAATAGGTAACCCTAGAGCACCCAAACTCACATTTCTCTGGGTTAACCACAAATCCCGCGTCTGCCAGCTTCTTCAAAACTATCTCCAGCCATTTCACGTGTTCGTCGAAAGTATCTGTCACAATTATTATATCGTCGAGATAACCAAACACGTGAGGTTCAAATTCCGGTCCGAAAAGAGTATCAATTACTCGTTGAAAGGTCATCGGCGCGTTAGTCAAGCCGAATGGCATTCGTCGATATTGCCACAGTCCTGAGCCGGGGATGGCAAAGGCCGTGTACTTTCTGCTCTCTTCTGCCATTGGAATTTGGTGATATGCCAGTTTCAAATCGATCTTCGACAAGTATCGCGCCTTCCTCAACTTGTCGAGTATGGAGTCTATCGTCGGAATTAAATAGGCGTCCTTGACGGTAACCTTGTTGACATCCCTATAGTCCATACACATTCGAAAATCTCCATTCCCTTTTCTGGCAATCACCGGTGCACTCCTCCAGTCGCTACTTGATGGTTCGATCACGCCTTGCCCATGTAGTTGAATCATGTGTCCTTGAGCCCACGTGATCATAATAGGTGACATGCGTCTCTGTCGATGCTGTACTGGTGTCTCGTCTGTAACCCTTATATGGTGTTCTGTCAGATTTGTCACCCCCAGTACGTCAGATTCTGGAAGAACCAATCGGTTCACCATTTCTTGAATGATCTCTCTTTGTTTGTCCGTCAACGCAGAGATTCCAGCGCATTCAGCGTAGATCGACTCATCACTCTCAATCCCATCCTTGACGCCAAAAACATGCCAGTCGCCATTGAAAACTCTCCATAACCCCAGTCCCAATTGTACCTCCATATTCCAGGCTTTACAGAAATCCACACCCAAAATTATGTCTTGTACTACTGAACTAAGGACCTTGACGCTAAACGGTTGAGAATGGCCATCCACCTCGATGTTCAAATTCAACAATCCAGCTGTCTCAGTTACTCCTCCAATGGCGCTTCTTATCGATGTATTGCAAGGCTGGATGCGGCTCTTATAAGGCTCAGCTACTCTGTCGCTAATCACCGAGATCATCGCTCCAGGGTCGAAAAGTGCCTCATAAGATTTGTCGCCAATGGTCATTCGAAAGAAATAACGATTTTCCATACGACTGCCGTCTACATCCTTGTCGAATAAGGGTTCTGGGTCAGCTGTGCCCGTCACAGCCTCTCCCCTCCCCTGGACTATTGGTACTGACTCCATTTCAGTATCTTTAGTCCCATCTGTCACTAACACGTTTTTGAGTGAATGTTCTCCACTCATTTGGCTTTTTGGTACCTGCGTCACAAATTTAAATGAATTCTTTTCATTTAATTCGTCAGTACCAACACTCTCATCACACTGTGTGAGTGGTCTCCTCCCACTCTGTTGCCCACTACAGGATGCACCCTCGTTGATGGGAAAAAAATTTAACCCTCTTGGTTTACTCTTATTTTCCCCTGAACCTTCTCCAACCCTGGTCGCTACCCCGTCGTTAAGAATCGGTTTTAATGATTCTTCAGTGGGTTGGAGGGGGGTACAGACCCGCTCTGTGCCCCCCATTGTCCGTTTCCCAAAGCGGCCCTCACCTGGACGCAATTCGGACAATTAAGGAAGTTCACGCCAGGTGATCGACAAACAAGGCATGACTCCAC